TATGAATTTCATTGGATACAGACCAATTTTTTTTCTAAATTAAGTAGTGTCCTGAAATATGTAAAATGATGAAATTGTATCACTGGGTGAATTGTACACTTTTTGCCATTGTGATGGACAATGATCCAATTTAGGTACCATCTTAATTTTCTTCCAGTAAGACATGAGAAAAAGTCTCTTTCTTTAGAGTAAGTGCTATTTGATAATAAATATTTCAGGCAATGCTCAGTATTTTCATGCTCATTCCTTAGGCAATAGTCCACATCACTTTTGCCTTTTAGAGTCACAAAGTCATTACATTTCATCTGATTCTGTTGCTTCATTTTTTTGCCAAATGACTACATTGATGTATAAATAAGAAAGGAAGAAATGGGTCTCCAAGAATTTCTTCCTCATGGCATGTACCAATGAATATTTATTATGATCAAATGTATTATGAACAGTACAAATCATGGTTTTGCATGGTGAGGACGTCTGCCTTTTTAATAAAAAATCTGGTAGATGCAGAACATATATACTTTCATGTCCTATAGCAGCGGTTCTCAACCTATGGGTCGCGACCCCATTTGGGGTCGATCGACCATTTCATGGGGGTCGCCAAGCAAGGCTGTCCGCCATTTTTTTCCCCTTTTCCAGCGGGTGCCTTACCTCCCTTGAGCTGGGCCAGCTGGTGGTCGGCCTGCTCCGTCTCTGCCGCTTGCCAGCTACGCCTCGGCCGGCGCAGGGGGCGGAACCATGCATGCGCGGCGCTCCCGGGCAGAGAAAGTCCTCGACTTACGACCGGTTTAGTCCTCGACTTATGACCGGTTTAGTCCTCGACTTACGACCGGTTGGGGGGTCGCGGCATTAAAAAGGTTGAGAACCACTGTCCTATAGGGACATGTTCTTCTTCCATAAATGGGGATCAACCATCCTTGGATTCAAAGTAAAGAGCATGCTTATTGCATTATTGCATTGAAAGCCATTGTCTTCTCAGCAAAAGCTGCCCACTTGTTAAAATTGTTGATGGAGGTCTTTTTAGTTGTTCAATCTTTTTATGCCTTATCCATTTTACTTTTTGACATGTAAGGTCCTATGAGAAGATATCACCCTTGCAATGACAGATATATATGTTTACCAAAGTCCTCAAAATGTCCACCTGTGTGTGCCAAGATTAGCAAAATCTATGTAGCTACTCACTGGATGCCTTTTTGGGGTACTTCCTCTGAAGTGGTCTTTTTTCTGAAGTTTGTGAAATGCCTAGTATCAGATCCTTTAGGAACCTGCTTGGACTGTCTATCTGTCCCATCACATCTTACTGATATGAATTTTCGATGTACGATACAATGTTGGTTTCCTTTTTGTTAATATGTTTTATATTGTTTAAATTTATAGCTGCTATTAGTTTATTTTAATTATTCAATTAATTATTTAATTAGTTTTTGAGAAACACTTTATGATGCAGTATGAGGAGCAGCATAGATTAACAGATTAGCACACTGTTCCTTGCACCTTAAGCAAAAGTAGATGAGACATGCTTATCTATATAAATAAAAATGTAAATGCTCGTTTGTTCAAAACTTAAATCTCCGAAAGTTCTTCACTGATTGCTTTGAAATTTTGACACAACGTTGCATTTGAATACGTGCGTGTTTTTATATACCTACTATTATATAGATGTCACACCTGTGACAGGTAAAAACATGCTTTTTTGAAAAACAGTGCCATCTGTTGGACGTAAAAGTAACACACGCTAACAAAAAATATTGTATACCCACAAGCATTGTGAAATTAAACATATTACAAACGTGCGCTTTCTCTTTTCTTTCTTTTCCATTTAACCAGACTGAGCCACAGCAACGCGTGGCCGGGTACAGCTAGTTGTAAATAAGAAGATTACTGATTACAGAATGGTATCAATGTTGACTATCATTGTGTAGGCTGTATCTAACATTGTATCAGTGAACGTTCGGTCATATAACCAAATATGTGTGTGCTGTACCCTCCAAATTAAAATGGATTTACTCTTTAAAAGTATCCAGAAGTGCAGTTAATTATATCACATCAAGAAACCAGATAGCATCTGCCTGATTGCCAGTTGCTCACAAAGCACTGTATAAGACATTGGCTTAATGTTTAATGCCCTACATGGCTTGCATTTCTAATATTACAAATTTATTTGGAAATTAGAATCTACAGGACAGATTTTTTCCCCCTGAAATTTCCTCCCATCTGTATCAAAGGTCTATATCAGGGATCCCCAACCCTCGGTCTGGCACCAGTCCGTGGCATGCCAGAAACCGGGCCATGTAAACAAGCGAAGCCCCATCGGCAGGATGCAGGTAGCACACAACACCATGTCCCCTCCAGTCTGTGGAAAAACTTTTCTCCATGGAACTGGTCCCTTGTGCCCAAAAGGTTGTGGGGTTCTGGTCTATATAGCATATGGGAAATGGCCTTCTCTTGAGCTGGTCCCAAGCTATGAAGCAATTGTGGATGAAGACAGATAAAGCAGATACAAGAACTTAGGTAATAAAGATATCTTGATATCAGCAATATGTCCCAGAAATAAAAATTGATCTCAACTTCATATTGAGAACACAACAAGATATAACTTTACATTACAAGATGTAACTCAGTTTATTTAATCTAATTAATTTAAAGGACATTTTAATTCCCCTTTATGTAATTACTTGCAATGCTTAAGTATTTTAACCAGTGCTTTTTTTGTAAAAAAAAAAAAAAAGGTGCCGGAACTCACACATGTTATACAACCTGCCTTGCCTACCCTACAAGGTTCCATGTAAAAAAGGTGCTAATCTACCTCTCATATTGTGAAATACTCTGAATTGCAAAAAATTATCTAAATCTAAACTAGAGATTTTACTATGTAACTGTTGAATGAGATTAAGTTTTCCCATTTGATACTAATATACAAGTTGAAATAGATAGGGCCATTATAGTTGGTCAAAAAACTTTAATATTTAAAGTTAAAATGACTAGTGGATTTTTGATGCATTTCTCATTAAAAATACAATTTAAAATTCTAATAGAATCTGCTATCTGTCCACCGTTAGTAAATCTATCTTGTTCCAAATTTGTATAAACTTGCTTAATCTTTTGGCCAAATAAATTATAAAAATCCTTTGATTTTATTCAAATTTCAGTTGGTTGATAGGATTCAGCTCTCTGTCTTTGTTCTTTTTGGTATCATGACTAACCAGACTTGATAATATGAATCAGAGATGGGGTTATCCTGTAGTACTCAGTCAAACAAACAAATGAAAATAGAGGGCAATTATTTTTGAAATATTTTTATAAACAGTTACAGTAATACTACCAACTTTATTTAATTACTTGTTCTATTTCTTTGGAAGATAGTTGGTTGCAATATTTTATATGAACTTCTTATCTAGAAGTGACGGTAATTGAGTGTAGAAAATAATTTATTTTATTTAAGTGTACATGCTCTGATGAATACAGTTAGCATAAAGCTGTATACTTCATTTTATTTATTTATTTTAACATTTCTCTCTGAATATACTTTAACTGGGTTATTTTAATCTGAGGAGCTTTCTTTTTTAATTTATTTGCTAATAAGTCATATGCCTTATTGCCATGCTAAATTTCTGTTAAATACATATCTACGTGAAGGCAATTTTATTATATTCCAAGACATCTAATCCTCTTCTTTTTCCCTCTAATCCTCTTCTCTTTTGAATCATTTTTAATGTCTTTATAGCCTGTATTTCTATGTTTATTTTAACTCTACTCTCTTCTTTTAGAGAAACAAAAAAGGACACACACACAATAATTAACATCATTAAAATTGTAGTTAATGTTTCTTAACAAAACACTAGTTTTTAATATTATTTATATATGTAAATGTATATGTTTGCATATGTGTGTGTATAACAACAGCTATATAAGTATTATTACTGTATAGAAGGCTATATATTTTAATAATGTAAAACCTGTATTATGCCAATTAGTGGGAAGATTCCAGTGGTTGCAGGAAAAAAAAAATAGGTATTATGTCCAGAAGCTATTAAATACATGGGGATTATTATCCTCAGGAAAATATTTACTTTAGTAGGTAAGAACATTTAAAAATACTTTATCCAGATGAAACATATTAAAGAGAACAATAAGAAATACCCCTGTTTATGCAGAATAATGAGTGTTGTGAAAATGAACTTTTCCATCAAGATGGATATATATTTTTAAAGTAATGCTTATGTTGGTTCAACATAAATATTTTAGACAAATTGATAGGCTAATGGTTAAATTCTCTTAGAAAGAACAAACATTTCAGCTTCTGAGGACTTCCAATGGCAGAACTCTCAGTGATTGTTTTGGAAAAAAGAGATTTTAACGGCAGCATTAAATAAGAGATTTCTGGATTCCTATATATCAGTTTCAGGCAATCTCAGAAAGTGTTAATTAACATAATGAGTTTTTGACATATTAGTTGTTAGATGATAGGTTATTATAATCTGTCTTGAATGTAATCTGCATCTGCATAAGCAACAGTCCTTTCCTTCCCCACCTCATCCTAATTTAAATCTGTCTAGTCACTCTGTGGATCTGATGAGCTGAGGTGTGGAGCTTATGTCTTTAAATAAAATTAGTTATTTGAAAAAGATACTACCAGCGTTCTTCAGACTCAGAAAAGATTTAAAAGCTGAAGACTGTCATTTCAGGCTTAGACATCTTAACATAAGTTAAACTTGCTTGCAAAAGTAGGTTATAATGATTTCTTAAGTAAAACTGGCTTAATGACAAGATGTTTACATTTTGAAAAATGTGCAGGAAGAAGATTTTGCTTGCCTATCTTGCATATTGGTCATTGGTTTTGCTGGAATGGGATACAGGAATGAAATGAAATGTCTGCAAGTAAACAAGCTCAGAGAGCACCAAGACTACAGAGATATATAGTTTACTTATGAAAAAAATTGTATGTAAATTTTGGCTTGTATATTGTGACAGTCATCCATTAATCTTTTAATGTATGCTTTTAGACTTACAGAATTTGAAGATACACCTGCAAGTCAGCTAACAATAGATGAGTTCATGACCATTGACCTGGAAGAGGAATGTGATCCTCCTTCATTTACAGCTGGTCAACGAAAGATAAAGATTCAGCAGGTGAATCTTTCAGTTGTTCATTCCCTAATTCTTAATTCCTTTTGTAATAGGAGAGATAAAGCTCTGCCATGCTATCTTTGTAATATTATCCTACACTTCTTTCACATCTGAAGCCCGAAGTGACAGAATCCCCCCCATATATATAGTATAAGCATAGGTAACACCAGTAAACTATGTAATAATGGCTGCAGTTCCCTCACTGCATCAGAATCTAATTCAATAAAAACATTCTAAACAACAGAAATATCAGAATCTGTTTGAATTATTTCTTATTTTGATCATTAAAAAATATAATTATTTTTTTTGGCTGAAATTTCTCTTAAAGCACTTGAGACTTTTGCAAAACAGCTGTCAGATATTTCTAGCAGCAATCAGACCTGGAAATGTACAATTGAGATTCAAGTATTTCTGAGCACTGATTAGTAAATAATAGTACAAGAATTTCAACCAATACTTTGGCTTTAAATGTGAATAGACACAAACAGACAAAGACACAGACAGACACACGACATTCAAAGCAGTTAGCTGGTTACTTTTTTTTCTCCTGTGTCTGTGCGACACAGTGGAGGAAGCTACTCTCTTCAGAAGAGGTAGGGTAGCTTACACCTGATATTGTTTATACAATGGCAACAAGACTCTTTATTAGAATCCACTATTATGGTATCATTGCCAATATCTCATCTGATCCCATTTGGATGTTCCTTCCCTAATGTACTGAATGTACAAGAAAGGCAGTTCTCAGTCACATATATGGGCATGCACTGTGTCAGTTCTAGGTCTTTGGGTCAAACGGATAATGTGATTTCATGCCTTTTTACGGGAGGGGAGTTGCCAGTGGCTGTTACAGAGAGAGGTGGTATTTTGCCTCTTAGAGGAATCATCCCTGGACTTGGAGATTTTAGATAAGATCACCAGATCTCCAACTTTCCCTTTTTAGGGAAGTTTGTTGAAATGATAGTTGTGGATCAACTATGGAGTAGCCTAGATCAGGGGTCTCCAACCTATGGGCCGTGGCCCTGGACTGGGCTGCAGCTCTTGGCCAGTGGGCCATGGAAATGGCTGGCCGATGCGCATGCGTAGGCATGCATTCCCCCCCCACTCACATTAGTGCCCGGGGCCCCATTTGCGCATGTACACGGGCGCAAATGGGGCCGCTAGTGCTGGGTGGGTGTGCGCGGCCCATTTGTGCATGCCACATGTGTGAACAACGATGCTAGTGCCGCACCAGTGGCTGTTACAGAGAGGGGTGGTATTTTGCCTTGTTTGTGTGCGTGCACCAATTTGGAAGCTGCTCTCCTTCCCTCCGGGCTGTGAGCCCAGAAAGGTTGGAGACCTCTGGCCTAGATGAAGTAGTTTACCTAAAACCTTTTCAATCAGGAATGGGATGGAAACAGCAATGGTTAATTTGGACCTAGTCCTCTTAGATCTCTCAGTGCCTTTTTTTTACACATTGAACATAGTCCTATAGTTGATATAGTACTGTACTTGATCATTTTGTGGGATTGGGGATTGGAGGCACTGTTTTGCCGTAGTTCTGCTCCTTCCTCAGTAGACAGGTTCAAGTTAGGGGTAATACAGGCTGAGAGTCATGGGTCCCAGATTTGTGGAGTTGGGACTAGTTACATTCTCTAAGTTTTAGGAAAGGAGACAGTGGCAAACCTCTTCTGAAAAATCTTGCCAAGAAAATTGCAGGGACTTGTCCAGGAAATCTCCATTCTCGACCACAGTTGAATGAAATTAAAGATCATCAGTCTGAGTTGGGAAAAAGTGTACACTCTGTCTGCAAAACTGTTGCAATTGTTTACTGTGGATTTACTGGAGTTTACTTGCTCTGCACAAATTCTAATCAATGTATGCTTCACCCCATAGTATATTGGCAAATGTATTCTGACTTACAAGAGTTGGAATTTTTCTTATGATTCATGTAAGCTTGTTATATTGCATGTAGTTTTCTTGTCTTATGTATGCCACATTCATTCTTCTACCCCAATTAGCAAAGGCCACAGCTGGAAAGGTATTTGCTTGATAATTAGTTTCAACTCCCCCTTGCTTCCAAGTTCTCCTTTCATTAAAATTCTGTGTTTTAACTGGTCCAGTTTAAAATAAGCATTGCTATTAATTATGATCAAATTGCATTGGATTCGTTCCAAAATGTTGCTTGCCAAGACATGCAGACTGTCACTGAGTCAATTTTCTGAGATAGATATTTGTGAACAATTATTAATTTTGCATATAAGTTATTACAGCTGTTAAAAAAATAAATCTTGGGGCTGGATTGAATTTCCCTCCAGAATATTTTCTATAGAACTTTGGGTATAGATGTTCAAAATCTAATCTTTATTTGTGACATATAGAAGGGTTTTTTAAAATCTCTGTCAGACCTTAGATGAACTTTATCCTGCTGAAAGTTGTTGAATACATTTTGACACAGAATAATGCCATCACAGAGATATAGGACCTGATTCAAAAGGATTTTTGCAAAATGAGCAGAGAAGAAATACAAAAGGTATTTAACTTATGATAATTGCCACATCTGTAAAGCATTTTCTATTGAACATTTGTGGCAAGTGAAGGTGAATGGCAAACTCCTCTCAACTCTAGTCTTGCTCCTGAAAATTACCCCTGCCTGGCAATTAAATTTAGGGGGGAAAATAATTGCCAACAGTGGACTTTCAAGGCTCCAGGGAATAGATTTGGAGCTGAGGGAAATACTCAGAAGGCTGAAGCCCCAAGGGCCCAGGCCCAGCAACATCAGTAGGTAATACTGCCTAATTTACTTAGAACAAAAATTTCTAACATCTCTTTTCTCTTTTCCCTGTCCAGCTTGAGAAGGAATTGTCAAAAAAGCTTGAAGAATTAGAAGGTAAAGTGTATATTCTGTCAGTATTTTTTTTTATTTTTTCAAATTTATATGATCACTTATCTAATCAATGGAAATCTATCATATCCCTTGTTGTTTTGATCTTTTTTATAGTTTTCTATTGTCATAGAAGAAAGGTATTGCAAGGTATTATAAACTCTTAGCCCAATATCAGTTCTCATTTTAATAACAGTGAACCAAAACATGTTTAATGTTAATCGTCAGAAAATCTGAGTACAGTTGTCATCTATTATCATGTTAGTTTATCTGGAAGATTGTTCATTCCAGCTAATTATTTAGTTAATGTCATGTATTTGCCTCACTGGAGAGACCTTTCTTTGGCCAGATTAACTGTTCTGCCATCCATGTTAACGGAAGGGAAAGCTAATAACATCTCAGTGCAAGAGCATTTATGCCTTTATTTGGTGGGGGAAATTGAGACAATTACACATGTACTGCTATATGGCCTGGTGCACAGATTTAATAATACATACCCTGGTAGGTGTTGTATGGAAAGAACATTCTTCTGTTATCAGCAGATCCATCTTCAAAAGTTGCTTTGAAGGATTCTTAAGTTCTTTCTATAGATTTGGGGTTTTTAAATGAACAGACAGCAGAAAGACAGACATGCTTTTTAATAGGCTAAAGAAGTAGGCTAAATCTAATTTGATTTTAATGTCAGAGAATTTCATTTTTCAGTTCTTTCCTTTTTTATTGTCCTTTTTTATATGTAACTGACAGATGGTCTTTTGACTATAACTAAAGTTTATTTTCTTTCCCTTCATTTCAATTTCCCTTGCCCACTAGTGATTTTTCTGTTTCTGGCAGGTGAAATAACAAGCTATCAAGATGAAATAGAGATTGAATTAGAAAATAGCCGGCCCAAAGCAAAAGGAGTTTATGCAAATTATAGCAAGGATGGTAAGTTGATCTGAAATCCATTAATCAGGAATATGCTTAAATAGGAAAATGATTGTATGGCAGTTTGGTAATAGAGGCATGCATTCCACAAGATTGATTTAAAATAAGGCAAGAGTGGGATAATATAAAAAAGTATGAATCCTTTAATATAGCCACCTGCAACCTAGAACCTCAAGCATTATTGGATTAAAATTTTCATCATCACCAGCGATTTTTAGCGGTGAGTTGGTGGAATGTTTTTTAATGGGAAAGGGAGACTGAATGTGATCTATGCTAGTTCTGGCTACCTGACCTCAGACCGCTGATTTCCTTCCCAAGTATCTTGAAAATGGAATTCAAACAGCTGCTAGAGGAAAGGACAGGGAAGGCATATGAGTTGGTGAGGGCATGGTACTGCAGCTATGAAGCTATGGAATTATGCAAGTATGATATATAAATAACTTCATTTTTGTCCTGAGCCTCAGCTTTGCATATTAACAAATACTTTAAAAAGTGTGATTGTGGCAGTACAATGTTTGATTTCACAATTTAAAAATAAATAAAATAAGTGAATAAAAAATCAAATGCCAAGATTTCTATTTTCTATAGTTCAGCTGATCAGACCATGCTATTATCCAGGAGACCTCTGGGTGAAAATACTTTGGATCCAGAGATTGTTATTGTTCAACAGAAAAAATGAATTTTGGAAAGCTGAAAATGATGGAGGCATGTAGTGAGTTTTAAATGGCTGAATGCCAACTCCTTGCGCAGCTACTTGGGAAAATCACTTGAGCTATACTGTGTAAACACTTTTGTATGAAATTATAACATTTAAGAGAATAGTGTATTATTTTATTTATTGCAAAAGTACTTCAATTTAACAGAACATTGGGGGAAAATATCTGTGTATTATTTTATTATAGGAGGTCCTTGATTTAAAACCATTTATTCAGTGATTGGTTGAAATTACAGCAGCGCTGAACAAAAGGAACTTATAGCCTTTTCTCAAAGTTACAGCTATTGCAGTGCTCCTACAGTCATTTGATTAAAATTTGGGCACTTGGCAGCTTGCCTGCACTTATGATTGCTCTTTAGCTGCTTCCCCCCCACCTATCTCCCCTCCCCATTTATGTCCTTTTGGCTCACCTCTACATCACCTGTGGCCCTTTGCTGTCTCCTCATGCCCAGCTTGGCCCTTTGCATGAGGCTTTTTACCTCATTGTGCATGGCAGTTTCCTCACGAGTCCTGTGGAAGATGACCTCATATAGTCAGTAACTGTCTCATGAAGAGCCAGCATGGGCATACCTTAGCAGCAGCAGGAACAAGAAGACAGATGGGGAGGGAGAGCACTGAGCTGCAGGTGTCTCGGAGTGCAAGGTGGTGAGAGCAGCTGGAATTAGTCTGGGGTGTCCGAGCTTTGCTGTTGGGATCGCTGTTGGGATCACCCCGTTTCCTGGGGTGGCTGCAACCTCATACCCTGTTATGCTGCTGGGCTGGAGTGGCTGTGGCTTGTAGCCGCAGAGTTGGAGCACACTAAGAAGTCTCTGAGCTACAGCCTGGCATGCCCCAGAGCTGTGTAGTTCTAGGTCTGCTTGCCCTCCTGCAAGGCAGGGTGCAGCATGGAGAAAAGGGTAGAGATGGAGTGGGAATAGGCAGTTGGGAAGAGTTGAAGGGAAGGTAGGCTCAGAGCTGGAAGGGACCAAACCTGAAATATCTTGGATTGGGGTAATGTCCAGTGGAATCTGGTTAATGATGGCAATAGGGAGTGCCGGGATTGTCATTACTAAGTGGTGAGTCACCTGACATCACTCATCACATCTATATTGCTTAGGAATGGAAGTTCCAGTTCCAATTACTATCAAATCTCAAGGTCTACCTTTAATTGGAGTTGAGTTGACCCTAACCTCTGAATCCAAACTCTACTTCAGCTGCTGTTCCAGCAATTGTCTGCCTGCCTGCCCGCCTGTTCGTTGAAGATGCCTCCCTCAGCTCTGTTTTAGGTTTATTGTATTTTAGGTTTATTCTACCTTTATATGCTTTCTCATCCTTATTATAACTTATAACATGCAATGATATAAAAATAGCCAGATCACTGTCAACAACTCCATGTGTCTTTGAGTGTCAGGAAAGACTTAAAGCCAGTCTCTTGTTATTTAGGTTTTTGAAATTATTAGCAGTTGTCTCTATATGCTGTTTTGGTATTGTTTTAATATTTTCATATAATGTATCAACTAAATACATACTTGGTTTATTAAGGCTGTTCTTAATAATGCTATTAATAAGATTTTCCCCAATACATATTCTGTGCTGTTGTTGTATACAGAGCCATACTAAATCCTTCAAGGTTTCTGAAATTTATGCATATAATATGAAGTTACAATTCCTTTCTGATACTGTTAAATTGTGTTTTCCCTATTTTCCAAAGTTGTTCATATTTTTATATGGGGTGAGTCTTGGGAACTGATCTTGGCTCAGTGGTAGGGCTGTTGCTCTTTCTTTTTATTATTTTAGCAATAATAGTAATCAGGGTGAGGGGGGCTATCAGTGAGAGCTAAAACTATGCACAATTAAATTCACAATCAGTTGCTGAATCTTATTTCTTTGATGGCCCCTACTACATGGTTTAGATTTCAATTCTTGGAATAGTACTTCATTATCGAAGTGCAATAATTCAGATACAAGATGTAGAAGAATTAATTCCTAATAACATCAGTCATGTTCATAAAGCAGGCTCTGCGCCCATTATCATGAGTTTATTCAACTCTGGGACTCTGTCTATATCTTCAAAGGAGAAATAGTATTGCAACTCCTGGCACTAATTACCATTTTGATGAAAGTGTCAGCTCTACAAATGACTCTTTCCTATTGCGAGGATAAGATTAAATGTACCACTACTCCAGCCCGCCCAGCTTCTGACCTTCTAGTGCTGTCACTGAATGTCTTTTGTGGATCTTGGAAGCTAAATTGAAAACAAGAAAAGTTTGGCTGACAGCCATAAAAAGACCCCTGCCCGTTTAATATTAAGTGATGACAAAGTGGTTAGTAGCATCCAGAAGCCTATTGAGATAGGTGGATATACTTCAACAGAATGTAAAAGCAAGATCCTGAGTGAAAAGGTACATTTTGAAACCCCAGACTTAATAAGGAGAAGCCAATGCAAACTCAAGTGGCAATTCCAAAATAAAGGTCCCACCAAGGAAAAGGTAATTGTTACTTTTTTGAAGGAACTAATCATTGGCATGAAATATATCCATGTTAATTACATTATTAGATAGTATGCTGGATAGCTGGGTAGCAGTTTAGTTTAGTGGCTAAAGCATCAGGCTAGAAATCAGAAGACTGCATTCTAGTCCCGCCTTAGGCATGAAAGCTGGGTAATTTTGGATCAGCTACTCTCAGCCCAATCCACTTCATAGATTTATTGTTGTGGGAAAAATAGAAGGAGAAATGAGTATAAATATGTTCTCTGCCCTGAGTTATTTATAAAAAAATAAAGCGATAAAAATCAAACAAACAACAAACAAACAATTTAGTATTGCTCAAGTGATGTCAAGCCTGACTCATATCTCAGTGATTTTGCTTAAAATCCACTATAACTGAACTCTCAGGAGATTTCAGTATTCTACCGTTGTTATTCTCTGTTTTTTCCAATCGTAATTGGAAAATTGGTCTAATTTGAACCCACTCCTAGACATGTGAGTAAATGTAACACTGTAAGCCAGAAGTCCCCAACCCCCAGACCGTGGACCGGCACTGGGCTGCAGCATGCCAGAAACCAGGCTGTGCAAACAAGTGAAGCCCCATCCAAATAGATGCAGGCAGTACATGAAACCACGACCCCTCCGGTCCACAGAAAAACCTCTCTCCAAGGACCCGGTTCCTGGTGCCCAAAAGGTTGGGGGCCACTTGTTTAAGCTACATTAGATAATGAACTGTCTGCAGCAAGGACATCATTTCGGGGAGCCCCTCATGGATTACTCTTTTCCAGGATGAAATGCCTACTGACATTGTATGTGATATTACACAATTTGTTAAATATTGTGAATATATTACTATACTTGATAGAGTTTCATAAAAATGGATGTCAAACATTTTAAAGAGAAATGATCAGTTTATAACTGGAATATGAAATAATGTTAAAACACAGTTGGACACAATTTACTAATTTGGAGGGGAAAATTCATATGTTTGCTTATGTGCTGCATAGAGATTACACACATTAATGTGCAGAAGAAATGAGCTAGACCTTTTGGCTTTCTGAAGATATGACTTTGATCCTTTGACAAGCACAGATAACAAACTGTTGAAAGGTAGAAAAAATAATCTTGTGAATCTTAAGAAACTCGTGAATAGATATCAAGCACTTTTAATTTTATCATATCTGATAACATTTGATCCTCTATCATTAAAGATTGCATAGAAGATACTATTTCAAGTATATTTGGAGATGAGGATGGAGAAGATGAAGAACTGGCAGCAGCTGCAAGTCATCTGAACATGGACTTTTATAATGAACTTCTTGATAAAGATCGATCAAAAGAAAAAGAAATTGCTGTAAGGCCATCTGCTCTGGAATCACTTCTTGGACCTCTTCCTACTGCAGCCAGTCTTGGAATAACAGAATCTATAAAAGAATGTATCTTGACTAAAGACCGAGATCGTAGTAAGTATAAATTTATTGGTAAATTATTCATTTGAATAATCACCGAATTACGATACTGAAAAAGTTTGTGAACATTAATTGTGGGTTTTTCAGGGCACTAGTGTTTGCATTTTGTAGTATTTAGAAATGTTGCAGTTTTTTAATTAGTTCCACAGATTTTCTTTTTATTTGACATGTTTTCATTAATTGCTGGTGTTTATTCTTTTCAAAATAGATTTGTTGGCTTACACTGTATATATGTGGTTTTCATATAATGAATAAAATGTGGTTTTCTTCATGCCCTGAAAATGATTAAAACCCTAGTAAGGAAAGAATTCATTCTAACAGAAGACAATATTCAGCATGTCACTCAGGATTGAACTGAGAAGTTTTTGATGTTTTTTGAGCTTGGTTGTTTGCTTGCAGACTTTTCATTGCCCAACCAGATAACATCATCAGTGCCTTATACTTCACATTTTCTGTGTTTTGCTGTTCCTTCTGTATACATGCACTTACAGTCTGAAGACTCATGAATATGTCTGGGATATTTGTAGGTTGTCATATGGCTTTGAGGTTGGTTGGTAGAGTATTTAGTATTTGCACTGTGGCCCCATCTTTGTGGAACACTCTACCATTGGAGGTGAGAACTGCTCCCACCTTTTTGGCCTTCCTGAAGGGGATTAAAACTTGGTTTGGCCAGTTGACATGGGGCCCCAAGGGAGGTGCTCACCACTGGAGGTGGTTGATGGGGTTAGAAGATATCCCCATGCCGTACGTCTCTTGGTCCTGGTTTTTTGTATAGTTTTAAATTTTTAATTTGCATACTTATAATAATTTAATTGCTTTTCCATTTATCTTTTTATGATTTGTAAGCTGCCCAGAATTGGCTTATAGGGGAGATGGGTGGCATATAAATGTAATAAATAAAAATAATAGTAATTTTATTGTCTGCTATTTTATCATGATCTGCTAGGGATTGCTTATAATTCATTATGGCTTTCCAGTTGTACATAGAAGTACCCTACACCTTCTACAACGAAAAAGAAATCTAATTTGGGCCTCATTAAAGTATTGGGTTGTCCAGAGAACAAAAACAGAATGCTGGAGTATATAGATTTGTAGGCTGAGCCAAAATGATGTTACAATATTCTTGTAATCAGAGGCATTGAAACATAATATTTCTAGAAAATAAAGGGCAGCAGACAAGCCAGTGGTGTAAAGTATCATTCCATGTTTTTATGTGTTTCCTCCTCTCAGAATTGTGAGAAATTATATTTACAATTTTAGCAAGAGTTGTCAGGTTTCCTGCACATGCACACACAAACAGGGCTGAGGACTATATGTAGTGCTGGGACTAAAAATTGCTCACCTCTTTTTTATATATCTAATTTGAACCAGACATGTTGATAGATTAGCTGACTGCAGATGCAGAAATTCTATCTTGTTTAATGAAGTGTGCAGTGTAATAGCTGTACTTGCTTCTTGATTCCTCTTTCAGAATCAGTACATGGTACCTGTTGTTCTCTGCAGCCATTAATTTCCTTCTCATTTTTGTGACATTCCATGACAAGTGTTGTGTGCTTTTATCATCACTTTTTACACTCCTGTCCCTGCTCCACACCCTCACCCTTATTAAAGGTGCCTTTTGATCTTCAAAAGCTCCAGATCTGAGGCTCAGGTAGGCTGCATACCACCCCTTATAAATGTTTAAGAGTAGTATAAATCTATAGGGAATTTTTCAGGCAGTTTGTGTACTATAGAGTAGCTTCCTTCGTCTGGTGGCCTTTTGGTATGTTGGACAATTCTCAAAATCATACTAGATGGAAATTCTAGAGGCCGTGGTTGAATACATATGGAGCGCTCTATAACAGACTAAAACAAGAGAACTCTTCCCCAATTCCTTCCAGAAATTTCACTTATAGCTTCTATTAATTTTAACTTCATAGCCAGTAATCAGGAATAATGGGGGTTGTTATTCCATGTACCTAATTCCTAATTTGCCTAGTCTCATTCTAAGGAACTTGGTAAGAAAACTTAATTTATTGTGTACTTCAGGTTGTCTTTTTATTTAAACATGTTCAGATTTGGCTTTATTTATCATATTTTTTCCTAACAGTACCAAAATCACATAATAACTTTGTTTACACTTACTGAGATGTGCATTATTTTTGTGCTCCTCATTGCCACTTTTCAAAATCCTTTAGTTTGTACAGATTACTTTCAGCTTGCTGTAAATGTGTATTCTGTGTTCATACCATGCAAAAAGGTTTCTCTAACTGGGTGATGATAAATCTTGATGGGAACAAACTTTTTGAATCAAACCTTGTATTTACAGCTCATAAATTTGAGTGTCTTTATAGACTATTGAATCTTTGATTGAGCCTTTATTATGCTGTTAATGCGAATTTTTGCAACTGGCATAATAATGCAGGAACCTTCTCTCATCTATCCCCGTCTGCTTTATCCACACTTTAGTTGGTATAAAGTGCAGTTGGTATGATTTTTATGTTTAATAAATGTGTAATGACAATGCATGTTTCTTTTCTACCTATACTTTGGATAGCATAAGGTTCAGATTGCAGTTCCAAAGGTGCTTTTTCTAAAAGGCAACCGTACTTTCTTGGGTTTTTTTCTTTGACAGTGTTTAACTTCTCATCCAAGAGGCTTCTTCAGCAGCACTCCTTGACAGAGGTGGCATCATTACTGTCACACTACTTCAGCCCCAGAAGTACCACCTCAAGCCCTGCAGCACAGCCAGCCAGTCTGTATTCCACTGTATTCCACTGACATTTGCTATCATTTTCTTCCCACTGCTGACAAGGTATGATCAGCGTGGCCCTAAGTGAGGCAGATCTGATTGTCTTCTTCCTGAGGCTGGGCACGTTGTTCTGCAATTGCCATACACCATTCTTCAGATCCTTAGGAAGGCTTTAAGGCAGCGGTTCTCAACCTATGGGTCGCGACCCCATTTGGGGTCAATTGACCATTTCATGGGGGTCGCCAAGCAAGGCTGTCCGCCATTTTTCCCCCCTTTTCCGGCGGGTGCCTTACCTCCCTTGAGCTGGGCCAGCTGGTGGTCGGCCTGCTCTGTCTCTGCCGCTTGCCAGCTACGCCTCGGCCGGCGCAGGGGGCGGAACCACGCATGTGCGGCGCTCCCGGGCAGGGAAAGTCCTCGACTTACGACCGGTTGGGTAGTCCTCGACTTACGACCGGTTTAGTCCTCGACTTATGACCGGTTTAATCCTCGACTTACGACCGGTTTAGTCCTCGGCTTACGACCGGTTGGGGGTCACGGCATTAAAAAGGTTGAGAACCACTGCTTTAAGGCCTTCTAACGCTTTGCAAGAAGGCTGCATGCACCTTTCTCTAAATTGTGAGAAAGATGCAAGAAGAGGGCACACAATTTGGAGAACAGTGTGTGTCATTTGGAGAAAGACGGATATAACCCAGTGAGGTATCAGAAAATCTCAGCCTTTGAAGGGTTATGAGAACAGCACACACGATTTGAAAAAAGTCTTGCATGGTCACGGGAAGAAGGTGCCTTTCATAGGGCCAGGCTAGACATGTCTCATCAGCAGTGGAAGGAAGAAGACAGCGAAGGTCAGGTGGGTGTGGCAGGTTGGTGGAGCATAGGCTGAAGTAGAGGAGTGCTCTGTGCAGAGGAGTCCAGCTGTGCAGAGTGACCAAAAGAGCAGAAATGTGGGTAGTTCTAGAAGAGGCAGTCCTTTACCTTACTGAGGCTGCAGGCTATGAGCAATCAACCTGGAATGGCTTGAATCGGGGTGGATTCTCACCTGAGGACTGGTGGAATTCAGTAAATGAGAAAACAGGGACTTCCAGGATTTCTGGATGCAGTCCTGTGACATTTCATGACTACATTGCTTAGTGACAATAATTCTGTTTCCAATTATCATTGTTAACCGAGGGTTACTTATGGAATGAAGCCAGATTCCTAATCAGTATGTATGTATGTACATACGTATGTTTGTTTGTTTGTTTATTTATTTATATTTATATTTGCTGCCTATCTTGTTTTGAAATATGATATTATATTTGGATAGGTCAACTACTGGGCCATTGGTTAGGCATATCAAAACATTTTGATCCAGAGGTAGATGGAATATAATAGTGATACCAATGCCCTCTCATTTTTACTTAAAGATTGTAGGTTACTATAATGTCCTGGAATATGGGAATAACCTTCAAGATTGTAAACTGTAGCTAAGCTATCTATTAAGACTGCCCAAAGTGATTATATAATTTCTATTCTTATATTATAACTTTAGTAGTTATTATTGGCTTCTCAGCACAAATCAGAGAATTGATTTACGTTTTATAGATTATAGTTTTGGCCTTGGACTCTTGAGATATAATCTTTGCCATTATGTTTTGATCTTGTAGATCAAAGAGTGAGATACTCAGCGAGTAACGCCACTATGAAAGTTCATCTTTAGACTCAGGATGATGTTTTGAGAATTCTTGGGATAGGAAATTCCAAATAGTTATTAAATTCACTGGATAATCGTGGATCAGTTGTTATGTCTTGAACTAACTCACCCCATTGGAATAGCTTAAGAACAAAAGGTCAATGGGATCATGTAATTGAACATGAGGCA